ATTGAACGCATCACCATTTTTCTCAGTAAATATATTACTAAAGGTGCTAATGACATGAAATTTTCACCAGATGTTGGTAACAACCCAAGTGATCCATACACAATTAATACAAACAACTTTATTTCTGGACATTTATGGTTTGATTTCTTTGTATGTATGGATCACTTGTGTTGTTACCAACATCTGGTGAAAATTTCATGTCATTAGCACCTCTAGTAATATATTTACTGAGAAAAATGGTGACGTGTTCAATTCTTATTTTACCCGCTGTATATGTATTCTTAAAACCAGAAGCACTGCTTAGTTTCTTTCAGGTATCTAATAAAAGCACCTCCAGACTCAACAATAAGCTTCATAAATAAAGTTATTTAACATGATCTTTACAAATTCACTCTGTTCGTTGTCTTGCTAGCACATTAAATACTGTGATCTGCTGTTTCTCTCCCTTCTTCAGTACATTTTATCTGTAATTAAATCAAATCAGCTCCTTGAAAGTTAATTAGTGAGCTCTCCAAGTATGACAAAATGGTAATGGGGAAACATCTCCTCCACACATAGGCGCTTACTTAGGAGTGTCATTTAGTTGCTTATGGAAAGTCCTGAGTGATATGAGCTTGAAGAATATCACAATAAGATCTCTTTAAATTTTCTAACTGCAAATGAAAAGTGCCTTAGTACTTTGCAGCTTATCTTAATAGGCATATAGAAAACACTAGGTCATCATTTATGAAGGGAAAGAACATAATGCCATCCTGCAGCTGCTTGTGACAGCAAAATTTAAAGTAATGTTCTCTCACTGTAATGAATTCATCCTCACTGTTAATTAGGCAAATATCTCCAAAAGGACGGGAAGGTGGATGATTTAGTAAACATTAGGTTAACCCTGATTTGAATTGTTTGCTTTGTGATTTAAATAAAAACACAACAAGAGATTAAAATGCACATAAATGACTTGCAAATGTATTCCTGTGGTTTATGCATACTGCCTGAGATTGCACCACAAAAAAATCCTTTCACAGCATCATTATCGATGTCTGTCATGAACAGAAGTCTTAAACAGAACAAGCAGGCTTCCCCATTAGCGGCATATTTCATATTCCAGAAAAAAATCTGATTAGATTTCAACC